GTGTGTTTAATTCTATAAATTTTAAATCAGACCAAAAACAAGTTTCACGTGTCATCCATGTGAGTAACCGTTAACGGAAAACTCATTCTGTTTACGGTTGCGTGGGAATTGACCGTCTTTTAAAAAATCATGAAGTAAATTCAAATTTATTGGAAGTTCATGTGGTTTTAGGCATTGTTCAATAGTTCATGTATGAATAGACATGCGTTGCATAGTTCATGGGGGAATATGTTGTTTGCTTGACCTAACCATCTACATAGATAGATGATATATATTCTCTGGCAAAGCTTAAAGGGGTTTTGCGAATTACAATTCTTGTTATGTGGGATCTAACGTCCCGTGACATCGGTGATGGTGACATTGTTGATGGAGGCTTTTTGGTCACTGTTTTCAGATGTCTCGGCTTCTGAAACACCATTCCTTGATACAAAAGATGGACGTTTAGGTTTTGGAATGTCTACAATCTCGCTGCTAAGCATTGAACACACCATAGCAACACTTGGCCTATCGTTAGCAGCTTCTTGTCCACACAATAACCCAATGTGAATACATTTGCGAATTTCTTTTTCAAAGAGTTGGTCAAAGATCTCAGGATCTACTAGACTATTAATCTCCCCTTCATTCCAAATTGACCATACCTATATAATTACATAGAAGCTTTTAGAGCATAAGGACAATCTCATGAGAGTTAAGAAACTTAGTAGAGTTATATGCATGAAATTTAGTAGAGTTATGTGGACTCACATAAGCTAAAAGAGTCGAATTTGAGTTTCTTCTTTCACAAACAATCTCTAAGAGTAGTACTCCTAAGCTAAAAACATCAGATTTCTCTGAAAACCGTCCTCCCATTGCATATTTCGGGGACATATAGCCGCTGCACGATACATTTATTTCCTCGGGTTTACGACTTTTATCTAAGTGTAAGGCCATCTCCAACCCCACTCCAAAATAAAATTTGGAGTAAAATTCTCTCGAACCCCACACCAAAATGGAGTAAACCCATTTTTACTCCACATTTGGTGTAAACCCATTTCTTCCTCCATTTTGGAGTTAAATTTTTTTATTTATAAAAAGACCCTTTAACTTTTAAATGATTACACTTTTGTACTTAAAATATA